ACCGTCATTGCTATGAATTCATAGGGAATAGGTTTCAGAAGCTCAGGAGCCTTTCCATGGGTTCTCACAAAGTGTGCTTCTCTGGGTGGAGCAGGCTGGCACTTCAGTTGAACCCAGGAACCTCTCTCTTTGGCTTCCTTCTTTTTCTGGTAATTTCTTCACATGTTTTAGGGAGTTATCTCTGCTCTTAGAATGCCTAATATATTCAATATGCACATTAATTCTCTTGGCAACCTTAATTTGTTTACAACAATGCCAACAGCATGGTGGGTAACACCTGTAGAGTCTTCCAGTTTTGCCATGGCACTATTTGTGGAACATTCCTTTTTGAAGAGTACCCACTCCCTGTGATGTCTACAATATCTCCTTTCTTCTAGATTCACATGTATGTTGCCAGAAGAATCACTCTGTTTTCTAAAAGGCCTAGAGAATATGTATCAAGTGCCTCTCTTCTTTCCCTTGTGTTCATCATTTTGGTAAATTACTAAAAGACAGCAGTTCAACCAAAAGCATTAACTTTTCTAATGTTAAAAACTATTTAATTTGGGGGCCAGCAGGTGGCATGGTGGTTAAGGCACTGGACTCCCACATGGCCAACTGCGATTCAAGTCCTGGGCCTGACAGCTTACTCTCTCAACTTTCTCTCTCTCTTTCTGATGAATGCATGTACTCTACAGCAAATTAAATAATAATAAAATGTTCAAAAATTTTTTTGAAAAAGAAAACTAATTTTACCTCTGTCTTCATATCTTTTTGTTTTTTTAGAGGTTTTTTGCTTATAGGGCACGTGCACTCGCCAGACAGACAGAGACAGAGAGACAGACAGCGAGAAATCACCCCCCAGGGGAGATGGCCACGCCGCAGTCCCTTCTCCTCCATTCTCCTCTTGGGATCTTGGGCACGCACGCACATGCGCCTGGTGTGAGTTTTAAGCCACCGGGTCTGGGATGCGAACCGTAGTCAACTACATGGGAGTCCAGCGACATAGCCATTACGCTAACTGCTAGTCCCCATATCATTTTATTTTTTTAAAGAGCTTTTTGTTATAGGGCACGTACATTTGCCAGAGACACAGAGACAGAGACAAAGAAATCACACCACCCCGGGGGGGCGGGAATAGCCACACCACAATCCCTTCTCCAATCTTCTCCTGGGATTTTGGGCATGCACACACACGTGCAAAGTGTGATTTCAAGCTGCCAGATGCTGGACTCAAACCAAGCACGGCCACACTATCCTTTTCCCACCATGTCTCCATTTTGGGCAAACACACATGTAGCTGGTATATTTTCAAGTCACTGGGGTCAGGATTCAAACTGCTGTTGGCCATGCGAGGCCAGTTTCCTATGCATGGTATTTAAAGAGCTTTCTCATGTCTTCAGAAAATCAAAAGTCTTTTTTTTTAAAGAATTATTTTATTCAACTTTATTTATTTATTTATTTTTAATTTGATCAGAGAGGGACAGAGTGAGAGCAAAAGCAAGAGAGAGAAAGAGAGGGAAAGTGAGAAAGCAAGCCATCAGATCCAGGACTCGAACCACAGCTGGCCATGTGGGAGCTCAGAGTCCTTAACCACCACACTATCAGCCAGCCCCCCAAAAATAAAAAAACATTATACTTTTTGGTGGTTTCAAATGCTTTGAGACCATTCAGGTTTTTCTGTGCAAATCATGGACAAATGTTTGGTGTAAAAAATGTAGCAGTAAGTTTTCTTAGTTCTTCCTTAATGGTACATAGTATCCAAATAAGGAGAGCCTAATTTTTTGTGTTAGTGCTAAGACTGGTGTGACTCGAGATTCATCTTCCCAGCTGTGGTAGAAATGAGAAACTACTCTGATAGTTTTCTTAAATCACAAACAGAGCAAGAGCCAGTCTGTTTAATTCCTTTCACAGGAGGAAGATGAGGCAACTGCTTTAGAAAAAGCATGGGCACTGTCACATAAGGGTGAATCATTGGGAGAAAAGTCTTACAGATACTTGGCTGCAGCAGGCATTCAGTAAAACTCCAGATCACTGCCCATCAGAGGATGCATACAGAAAGAAAATCTACACATATAGGGAATTTGGTAGGTACATCAAATAGTGTCCCACCCTCACTCCCCAGTAAACTTACACATGAAAGAAAATATAAAAAGTGGCAAGTGGGCTAGCTAGCCCTGTGGTGTAGGTGTGGTAAAGAGCTGCTCAAGAGAACCCAGATCCCACATGGTGAGTGCAGTTCAAATTCCTGGCCTGGTCAGTCTGAAAATGTATTGGACACTCATGCAAGTGGCCAAATATCCTATGAGCTAAAGGACTAGAGAAAGCAGATTGTGGCATGACCAAATCCTACGGAAGATGCTCATCTGTCTCTCTTTCTCACATATATACGCTCATGCTTTATCATGAATAAAGGAAAAAAAGTGAGATTTGTTAACAAAAATACGTTTTTGTACTTGTATGAATGGATTCCTACTGTGAACACTATTACCAAGGAGTGTGGCAGGCTAGGATGCACAACAGTAGCATGCTGCTCAAGTGATGCTAGATCCATATGGAAGGTGGCAGGTTGGGTTTCCTGGTTAATCTTTACTTGCTGGCATGTGTCCATGATCCTGACTGGCTGGGAAAACTGGGGGCATGAGAGCCTGTTGAGGGTACTTGTTTTTCTCCTCACACTCTCATGAAAAACAAACAACAACAACAAAAAGCCACCACCCTAAAATAATTATTTTTTAAAAAAGAAAGAAACCAAAAGTGTGGATAAACACTTCTCACTTAAGAACATTTCAGAGACTACACAGGAGAATCCAGCCAGCAGAAAGCCCGAAATCTACTTTAGGGTCAGCCAGTGGTATGGTGGTTAAGGCAGCCAGATTTCATATGGTTCCAGACCCAGCAGCTTGAAAAACACACAGGGCACGTGTATATGCTTATCCAAAATCCCAAGAGCTGAATGGAAAAGAGATTTCAGCATGGCTCTCTCTCTGGGGGGTGATTTGTTACTCTCTCTCTTTCTGGCAAGCAAATTCACTCCATAGTAAAACAAAACAAATCTATGCATCAGAAAGCCCCAGAGAGAAAAGGGGCAGCCTTAATCTACCACACAGAAGTGAGAAATGACAAGAAATGTGGGAAAGATTCAGTTAATAATGACTCAACAAATTTGGAAAACCCTTTTTGGACTCTAATCTGTTGTTCTAACTGTTCATCTATTGAGTTGTCTGGAAAGTCATGACACATTTTTACACAAGAAAAACAATACATCACAGCTTTCCCAATGATCTAACAGAAAAGTTGCCCAGCACTTGTTCTCCCCAACTCACCAGGACAATTCAACACTGTTCTTTTCTTTTTTCTTAATTTGCCAAATTTCTTAATTTGAGCACATGCTCAACAGTGAACTCCTAAGTGTTCCCATTAGCTTATCCCATAGCCTTGCCTTACTGAAAGAAGCAGGAAAGCAAAACTATTCACTTTTCCACAGTTCAACAGAATACAAGCTCCACAAGGGGTGCATTTTTATCTCTTGCCCATTGCTATCTTCAGTCTAGGACAATGCCTGGCAGATGGAAGGCCCTCATTAAGTCGAGTAAAATGAAGGCAGTGCCAAGAAGCAGTCCATGAATCCCCTGGGAAAAACAACAGTGTCTCAGGGGTCTAAGGCTGAGACAGTTTGGGGGAAGAACGAGGTAGACCAGAGCTTTAGAGATGGCTGCGTTTAAGAAATGAGACTTGATGTAATTTCATCTCAAAGAATAGAAAAGAATTACTGCTGAGAGAACCAGCAGATGTAGTAGTGGTTAAGATGCTGGACTTCCACATGCTGACCATGGTTCACATCCTGGACTCAGCAGCTTGAAACTCACACCAGGCGCACTTGTGGATGCCCAAAATCCCAAGAAGACAATAGAGGAGACAGGATCATGGCATGGCCATTCCCACTGGGGGATAATTTCTCGCTTTCTGTCTCTCTGGTAAGCATATGCACCCTACAGGAAAAATCTCTCTCAAAAAAAAAAAAAAAAAATTGCTGCTGAGAAATCCAGACCAATAGTTCATGTGCTCTTGTGACTTGGTCCATAAAACACTAAAGCCACGCACTGAATCAAGTTAGCATCATCACTACCACCCCAAGTGCTAAGATCCTGAATGGAGCTGCAAATGCATCTGCTTCTTTATGCTGTTGGTCAGTCTAACATACCACTGGGGAGCAGAGGAAAGGGAAAGAAAGCATACTGACCATGCATCTACCATGGACCAGGCTGTTTTAGGTGCTTTACTTTCGTCAATCCATTGAGTCCCCAGGACAACCATGAGTTGAGTGTTCTCTATTTTGCAGAGAAAATGGACATTTAAGAGTGCTTCAGTAATCAAGAAAACAGGAGTGTTTTATAAACCAGAAATAGATACAAGACGTCATCCAGGCTATTTGTGGAAGGATAACATAACAACTCTGTTCTCTCTTTTTTTTTTTTTGGAGAGATTTTCACTGTAGGGCGCGTGCGCTCGCCAGACAGACAGAGACATAGAGACAGAAAGCGAGAAATCACCCCCCAGGGGGGATGGTCACGCCGCAATCGCTTCTCCTCCATTCTCCTCTCGGGATCTTGGGCATGCACGCACACGCGCCCGGCGTGAGTTTTAAGCCACCGGGTCCGGGACGTGAACTGCGGTCGACTACGTGGGAGTCCAGTGACATAGCCATTACGCTAACTGCTGGTTCCCACAATTCTGTTCTCTTAATCCTGCTTCATACCAGCTTGGTGGAGCGAACTGACAGCCAACAAACCCTCTAATGATAGGGTTTTGATCAAGTCCCTGTACCTCTAGACATTCTAGTGATAGGATTTTAAGAGACCCTCTAGTGACAGGGTTTTGATCAAGTCCCTATACCTCTCTGAGCTCTATCTTCCTGAAAGACTTATAGCAAGTCTTAGAAGAGATCACTTCAGTAACTCATTATACCTAGAAGCTCTAACAATAACACACCTAAGTCACTGCTATAGCTCAACAGTTATGAGTTTTAAGAAAATTCACAGGCTATATACTTTCAATAGTCCAACAAATTTATCATCTGAGGCTGTGCTAGAAAGAACAGAGACAGACAGACCCTGCCTACATAAGAACTTACAGTGGAAGACAGAATAACACAGATGTAGATTTACCTATTTTTTCCACACCAATGCCCAAAACTTTCCTTTGGGAATCCAGTCTACTAACTGGATGCTCAGGTCTTCATGCCAAATGAGCCATAGGCTCTCACCTTTAGCACATACACTCCAACCCTCTTACAATATAACTTGTTCTTAGTAACAAAAAACAAATTAAAAAAGAAAAACAACTGGGAAGGTGATGCTGAACTCCCATTAGTTTTCCTTCTGGTCTCAGGCAAGTGCCAATTTTTATGGCTACTTTATCCTATTGACAGTGTGAGGTAAAGAAACAGTCTAGTTCCTTTTATTGCAGGAAATTATTTTTCACATCTAGTATATATTCCATGGCTACAAATTCCAACCCGTTTCCATATGATCTCATTAGAAATGTTTTCCATTTTCTAAACACCACCAATGAGATACATAAGTGCATTTTTTATACCAGTTCATCTGATAGACTTCCTAGTAAATATATATAATTTCATCACAGTAAAAACCGTGCTAACAGGATTCAAGAGCTGAAGTTGCTAAAAAGTTCAAGAAGAAACTCAAATGATGTTAACTTTATGAACAGTATCCAATAACAAGAGAAAGGAAGAAAACCCAACTTGGTTCTTGGGAAACTTTACATTAGAAATCATTTCTATCTCATGAGACTATTGAAATCAGTAAGCCTGCTTACCCTGAAGACAATAATAACCAATTAACCATTCATGTTATTACTTTTTAGTTTGGAAGACCATGCTACAAATGTTTCTATCACATGTATTCAAGAGATCAATGCTAAACCAACATTATTTACTTCTGTGACCAAAGAAAACTACTGATTGGCTGCATCTATTTGTAGCTCAATTTGCTGTTTCAAGGTACAGTCAGTCCCAAAACAGCCTTTTCATTATTCAGAATGCTCTTAGAACACCTCTCTTGCTAAGGAATTCCCAGGCAATTTAAAGTAAAAACATTAAGTAGCACAAAGACTTAAGTATATACCTTGCAAAGCCCACCTTAATTCCTTTCTGTAAAATATTACATCTATATTCTTGATTTTCCAATGATGAAAAATTCTTCATGCTTCAATTTTTTATTTTTTCATACAAAACTTTAGGGTCTAACTCTATTTGATGGAGTCCTTCAGAATGACAATGCTAAACTTCCCTTCATTGATGGAGTTTTTGGTGTCTAAGAAGGCTTGACCGCCTGCTGAAGTTCCTCCTGCAGACTGTACAAGTATAAGGCTGCTCACCTGTGTGGGTTCTCCGATGTTTAATGAGGTGGGAGTTCTGGCTAAATTTTTTTCCACATTCATGACATGTAAATGGCTTCTCTCCTGTGTGAGTTCTTTGATGTGTGTGGAGATTTGTATTTTGACTGAAGCTTTTCCCACACCATGAGCATTTATATGGTTTTATTCCTTGATGTGTAGTAAAGTGCTTATTAAGATCTGAACTCCATCTAAACCTCTTGTCACACTGTTGACATTTGTAGGGTTTCTCTTCAGTGTGAATTCTTTGGTGCTTAATAAGGTCAGAGCTAACTCTGAAGCTTTTCCCACATTCCTGACATTTAAAAGGCTTCTCTGCTACACGGTCTTTCTTGTGAAGGTCCATAAGTTTTAGAAGCTCTTGTTTCCAAGTTGAGAGTTTCTTTCTCTTCTTCACTGGAAAATCTCGGTGCAATTTCCCAGCTCTGTGCGTATCACTGTGATTTTCTTTGCCTGTCATTCTCTGGGGTACTTTCACTTTGGCTTTTTTTGAAACTACATCTTTCGGTACTTGCATTTCAAATTTAGAAGCAGATATAGGCTGATGATTTTCAGTGTCATTTTTGAGCTTTAACCCTGTTAGGATAAATACAAGAATCAGCAATCTGTATCCCAGAATAAGAAAATCACAGAAAAAAAATTGGGCTGGCTTGGAGTTATAGTGATAATCCCTGCTTGAGAGAAACTGGATTTTACATGGCGCTCACTGTTCAAAATCCAGAAAAGCAGCCTGAAACATACTAGGCACATAGACAAAAACCCAACATTGGTGGGTTAGAAGACTAAAGGAAAGGAATTGTGGAGTGACCAGACTCTGTGGAGGATACCTGTCCCCATCCTCTGTCACATGAGCATACATGTGCTCTATCATAAATAAAGAAAAAAACTTTAATTCAATGGTAGAATTTAATTTAGGGGGGAAAAAGGAAGAGGATCTTAAAACACAAGCGCTAGGGCCAGCAGGTGGCATGGTGGTTAAGGGTGCTAGATTCCCACATGGTGGATGGTGGTTTGAGTCTCAGACCTGGTAAATTCCTTTCTCACTTTCTTTAGCTCTCTCTCTTTACTGTGTCCCTCTCTGATCAAATAAGTTAATTAATTCTTTAAAAACAAAATACAAGCCCTTACAAAGATTATCAAGGCACATTTTTCCTCTTCCCATGTGGTATTTACCTCCAGGAGATTCTTTAGGAATGTCTTTTAACTCTGTGGATCTTTGAATCCATGGCTCTTCTCCTTGCTCTAAACAGAAGATCACTTTAGGTTTGGGGAGCACAAATAATGCTGTGAAATGGGAAAAAATGGAGTCAAGGACTGGTAAGAAAAATTTGTCCACTTACTCCAAACTATTCAGGAAAAGAAGGTACTTTTATAGTTTGTAACCCCAAATGTTTAAAAGGACACTCCTAGATCCAGTATCATGTTTGTACTACACTGTTCTTATGTGCAGATATGCAAAGAGTAACAAATAAACTTAAGGTGAATCAATGAAAGAAACAGAGGGAATAGTAATCCAAGCCATGTTCTCTCCTTCTGCTACCAAGAATACCTCATGTTCAACCAAGGGTGGATTCAAGCTCCAGAGGCCGTGGGAAATATAAGCTGGTCCTTTAAGACCAGTTATAGCAGAGTCGAAGTGAAGGACAATGAGTTAAGTATCATAGACACCAGTGACTGCTATCATATTACAGTTACTTTTCATTTAGCTTTTATGTATTTAGCACCAGACCCTAGACTAGGATAGATTTCTACCACTTCTATCCAGGTAAAACAAAGATGTGTCATTCACTTAATAAATTTGTATTGAGTAGCTGTGCTAAGCACTGCTGTAAGGGCGGGGATATATCGGTGAGAACAAAGTTCCCCTATTTCATATAGCTTACTTATATGCTAGTGAGAGAGTGAGATGATCAATCAGTAAACAAAATAATGTCAGGAAGTCATGAATATTTCAAAGAAAACTAAAAGTATGGTATGAGTGCATTATAAGATTCAGCTCCTCTGAGGCTATTTTAATAAGGTTACGTGGAAGGCCTTTTTGAGAAAGTGATTATTTGCACAGAAGCATAAAAGTGAGTTTAGCCAAATGTCAGAAAGTATGCTAGGTAGAGGAAAAGGGAAAGGAGAAACATAGAGGGGAAGTTCAATTAACAGCAAGACCAAAATAGATAAAGAGGATTGTACAAGGGCACGAGTAGCAGAAGATGAAGGCAGAGAGGTGTACAGAAAACAGACTGCGGAGGGTCCTGGGGCCTTGATAAGGAGTTTAAAGTTTTTTCTGACTATGAGAAGTCACTGCAGGTTTCTGAAACAGAAATATCATGATTTGGCTGCTGTATGGAAACAGACTATGGGAGGGGAAGGGTAGAGGCAAGGGTGCCAGTTAGAAAGCTACTGAAGTAGACCTTGTTCCAGATGACGCTTGCTTAGACTAAGAGGCTAACAACCAAGAGGTTGAGACATGGTGAACTAAAAATATGTGAAAGTGGAGCTAAAAAGAAAGCCAGCTACTGGATTACTAGTGGAGTATGATGGCGACAAGTGTAAAGGATGACTACATTTTTTTGCATTAAGCAACTAGGTAATAGTAATGTCCTTTATCATACCAGGGAAGACATGACGGAGTGGGTGTGGGGGGAGAAAAAGGAAAGGGGTCAAGAATTCTATACAGGATAAGAAATGAGCATGTACATGTGGAAAAAAATTACCCCTGTGATCTGAATATACCTTCTCCCTCCCCAGCATCACCTACTTGAGAACCAATTAGCTCCAAACAGTGAGACTCTCACAAGGGTTTCTTCTGAGTAAGCCAAGAACGGGACAAATTACTCATACAATTGGAAGGGAAAATCTTTACCTAGAGAGATGACAGTCTCATAGTTTTCCTGCATTACATCATTGTAGAGAGCCTTCTGAGTGGGATCCAAGAGCTCCCATTCTTCCTGGGAAAAATACATGGCCACTTCTTCAAATGTCAACAAGCTCTAAAGAAGAGAATGGACTTCAGCTCAGTAATTGCCACTATAGATGAAGCCCAACCATCTGGCTATGAACTGCATGTTAGGCCAAGCACTGAAGGAATTAACTATATAAGAGAATTTTTTTAAGTGGCAAGGCAGAAAGGAGGGAGCCAAGGGATCAGCAAACAGCTTGGGAGGTACCAAGCTCCCTGGTGGAGAATATCTGGGAATAACGCGCCTCTGAGCTCCTCCTCAGCAGTGTGGGTCTTGAGCAGCAGGGAAAGGCAGCCCTGAAGAGCTGGAAAGCACAGCTCACCTGGGACTCAGGCAAGACGAGCTCAGGCACCACTGTCTGGTCTTTGGTGTTTGTCTGCTCAGGAATGTTTGTCGGTTGAGCAGGCACAGCTGTAGGTGGAAAAGAGCCAAAAGAATTTCTCCTGTTTCTATGAACACCTTGAGCTCATTTCTAAAACACAGAAGATTCTGACTCATTAATAGAGGTGGGATACTTCTACCTGTGTGTGTGTGTGTGTGTGTGTGTGTGTGTGTGTGTGTTAATCACGAGTATCCTTTTCACTGCAAATTAAAAACAAGTATCTACCAGCCCCTAGAACCAGTTTTCCAGGTGACTGTCCTCAGTTTTCATGAGTGAATAAAAGGACTTTCTTTCCCCTTTGCATAATATAAATTGTTCTGAGTTGAATGAACCTTACAGGTGCTTAAAAATGAAAACACTCAGGAATTCCAGTGTATCAAATAAAGGAAATAGGAAGGCAGGAATAAACTTAACCATTTAAATAACAAGACCAGTGAGGTTAAAGGGGACTGAGAGTAAGGGCACAAATGACAAGAGATGAGTAGCTGAGTAGGGACCAGATCATGGGAGGGTCCAGGGAACTTGGTAAGAACTTTGGATTTTTTTCTGAAATCACTGCAGGTTTTTGAAGCAGGGGGATGTCATGATCTGACTGTGTGGAAAACAAAGGAAAGGCAAGAGTAGAGACAAGGATGCTAGTCAGAAATCTATGTTAGTAGACCAGGATGCTGATAGTACTAAAGGCTGAAGCATGGTTGGACCCAAGCTATATTTTGAAGGTAGAGCAAAGAGGACTAATAAGGAATTAATTACAGGGGTCATGATGGCAAGATCTGTGTAGAAGGTGGTAAGTTTTGGCCTGAGATATTGGATAAATGGTGGTACCCTTCATCAAGATGGGAAAGACACAATTAGAAAAAATTTGGAGGTGAGTGGCAGGAGGAAATAAAGAACTTTAGGATAAGGAAAAAGCATGTGGACATGGAAAAAAGCTCCTTAGGTGATCTGGATATACTTTCTCCCTCCCCCATACTACCTATTTGAGAACCAAACAGCTCATTGAACAGTGAAATTCTCACAGGGGTTTAGTTTCACTAAACCAGGAACAGTACCCATTTCTCAACTCCTATACAAATAGAAGTGAGAATCTTTACCTAGAGAGATGACAGTCTCATAGTTTTCCTGCATTACATCATTGTAGAGAGCCTTCTGAGTGGGATCCAAGAGCTCCCATTCTTCCTGGGAAAAATACATGGCCACTTCTTCAAATGTCAACAAGCTCTAAAGAAGAGAATGGATTTCAGCTCAGTACTTAACACTACAGAGACAGCTCAATCACCTGGCTATGAACTACGTGTTAGCCCAGGAATTAAAAGTGTTTTGTTTTTTTTCTTTTTTTAAAAAAAAAAAGGTTTTTGCCAAAGGACTCATGCCAGAGAGGAGAGACAGTAAGAAGGAAAGTGAGAAATCACCACACAATCCCTTCCCCATTCTCTTCCTAGGATCTTGGACATGCATTCACAGGTGCCTGGTATGATTTGCAAGCTGGAGTCCCAGACTCAAACCACAGCCAGCCACGTAGGAGTCCAGCACCCTAACCACCACACTACCTGCTGGCCCTTAGCACAAGACTAACTTTAAAAGTGAGAAGGGGGACCAGCAGATGGTGTAATGACCACATTGTTGGACTCCCAGGTAGTCAACCATGATTCAAGAGCCAGACCAATGGCTTAAAACTCATGCTGGGTATATATGCTTGTGTGCTCAAGATCCTGAGAGAATGGAAAAGGGATTGAGGCATGGCCATCCCCTCCTGGGGGTAATTTCTCACTTTGTGTCTGTCTGTCTCTCCAGGGAGTGCACACACCCTATAGCAAAAATCGCTCTAAAAAACAAAAATTGAGAAGGCAGAGGGCCAGCACTGTGTCCTAATAGTTAAGGAAGTGGATCCAACTTTACAGGGCACATTTTGAGTGCGTATTCAAAATTCCAGCAGGATGGAGAAACAGAGAAAGAACTGTGGCATGACCATGCCCCTATATGGGGTGCTTTCTCCCTTTCCTCTGGCAAGCACACATGTCCACTAGAAATTTTTTTTTTAAATGAGAAGACATAGGGCTGGCAGGTGGTGTGGTAGTTAAGGGCGCTGGACTCCCACACAGCCAACCATGGTTCAAGTCCTGGACCCCTGGCAACTTGCTTTCTCACTTTCCCTCTCTCTCTGTCCTCTCTAGTAAAATTTTAAAAAGTAAATAAAGTTAAATAAAAATAATTCTTACCAAAAAAAAAAAAAAAGTGAAAAAAAAAAAAGTGGAAAAAAAAAAAGTGAGAAGGCAGAAAGGAAAGAGCCAAGGGATCAGCAAACAGCTTGGGAGGTACCAAGCTCCTGGGGGTGGAGGGGAGAATAAAGTGCTCCTCCCTGGGCAATGTGGGTCTTGCACAGCAGGGAAAGGCAGCCCTGAACAACTGGAAAGCACAGCTCACCTGGGACTCAGGCAAGACGAGCTCAGGTACCACTGTCCACTCTTTGGTGTTTGTCTGCTCAGGAATGGCTAGAATCTGTTGAGCAGGCACAGCTGTGGGTGGAAAAGAGCCAGAGGAATTTTTCCTGTTTTTATGAACATCTTGAGCTCATTTCTAAAACACAAAAGATCCTGATTCCTTCAGTAGAGAGAGGATACCTTTACTAGTATGTGTGTGGTAATCACAAGTGGTCTTTTCACTGCACATTATAACTATCTACCAGCCCCTAGAACCAGCTTCCCAGTTAACTGTTTCCTTAGTCTCCCTGAGAGAAATTAATACAAGAAAATCCTTTTTTATTTCTCTCATGAAATTGCTCTAATTTCGGCAAAAATTAAGGATGTCTGAAAACGAAGTACTCAGGGACTCCAGTGCGTAGATGTTTTTTATTATTTTTTCCTGATACACAATTTTCTTCACATACTGCCACTAACGGCCCATTTCTGATTCCAATTGCTTCTGTATCTTGAGGATGAGTGGCTGCAAACCTTCCTACACTCCATTTCTCTCCCTCCTCTCTTTTTTTAAAGAATGGTTACTATGTTCCTACCAGAGTTCTGTGGTTTGGTTATCTCCTTACCCTAGCCCAAACCCACCCTCACTCACAGTTGGTATATTCTAACTACTGCCTGGGGAGATATAATTACTATCATGGCTACTCTAGTAGATCCACTATGCCCATGACATTTTGACTCAACAAATTTACTATCACAACAACTAAGAATAAAATTATCATGAAGCTCCTTACCCCTCTCATATACAGGCTCAGTTTCTTTATCAGTATTCCTGCTCAGCTGTTCTTGTAGACCCTGGTATGTATTCCAAAATTCTTCATCCTGGGACACACCCACTTGTTGGGATTCTGTTGGCTTCAGCTTGAAGCCTGAGGCCTCTGCTGTTTCTCCCAAGAGCACTGTCTCTTTTCTCAGCTCAGGGACTGCAACCTAGAAATAGTCCCCATCCTTGTTACCATAGAATTTATTTGGTACGAAGGGTGGAAGTAGAGGGAATATCTAGTGTACAGCCTAGATTTTGAGAACTATGAGACACTAAAGGAAATGACAAAATGCATTAAAGAGGAATTAGGCTGCCAACGTTCCACAAAGAGCTATCCACAAATCTGAGAAAACTAGGATCAAAGGACACTGTGGCTAATGCCAACCCTCGAACACCGGCGCCTCCACCCAATAGAATTTATTTGGTACGAAGGGTGGAAGTAGAGGGAATATCTAGTGTACAGCCTAGATTTTGAGAACTATGAGACACTAAAGGAAATGACAAAATGCATTAAAGAGGAATTAGGCTGCCAACGTTCCACAAAGAGCTATCCACAAATCTGAGAAAACTAGGATCAAAGGACACTGTGGCTACTGCCAACCCTAGAACACAGGAGCCTCCTCTCAGCATACAGTCCAGCTTAAGCCACTATCATGGTTGAGTAGGCTATCTATGCTCATGGTGCCTTGTCAGGCCCTTATTCTTGATTTAGATCCTCCCCCTGGGAGGTTTCTTGTCTTACAGTTTTCACTAAAAATCAAAGAAATAAATAAACAAGTTTTCCCCTATGGCATGGAAGGATTTCAGAGAATGGGATTAGAAAAAAAGGGGAAACAGTGCCTCCAAGCTACCTCCAAATAATTCTGACATAAACCATGTGCATCCTGCCTGAGGCTGGCAGGTAGGCTACCACCTGCCCAATAGCATAACAAGCTGTCCACCTCCCAGGAGAGCCAACGAACAACTACTGAGGGCAGTGGTGGCTCTTTGATAGGGAACACATTATTTTGCACTTTCTTTTCTTTCCCAAATCTCTCTTCTACTTTTTATTTTCATTTATAGTCTTACCCGACTTGTTTGAGTTCTCCTTTTTTGTTGTTGTTGAGATTTTTTGCTATAAGGCACGTGTGCTCTCCAGACAGAGAGAGACAAAAGGAAATCACTCCCCAGGGGCATAGTCATGCTGCAATCCCTTCTCCTCCATTCTCCTCTCGGGATTTTGGGCATATACACACATGCACTCAGTGAGTTTTAAGCCTCCAGGATCAGGACTTGAGCCTTGGTTGACTACGTGGGAGTTCAGCAACATAACTATTATACAATCTGTTGGTCCCGTCTCTCCTTTTTTAATGTCCTTGCTCTCCTTGGGTCTCTAAGTGTTTGATTTTTGGATCTGTCCTCTCCTGACTTTACTGCTTTGTAATTTTTTCTAAGAACTCAAGTCCTACCTCTTTGGCCAAACCTGACTAGGCCCATCACCCTCAATTCACCCTGGCTTTGAGGGCAAAAAGTAGTTATTTTTTTCCTAAAGGAAGGAAAGTCTCTACTATAATCTCTGAAATCTGTGGACTGACTTTTGCTATTGGCCTGTTAGTTCCAAATCCTGCCTTAACAGCCCTAAAGGAATAATAAATCAGCAGCCAAATTCATCTCATTTCTTAACTGTCCTCATCTCCAATTTGTCCAACTGCATCCTATTCAACTATACACATCAGGAACCTTTCTTCTCACCCCATTCCTTGTTTGACCAGATTCCCTCTGCAAGTGTTCTACCAGGGCTACAGCTTCCTTGATGCTCTGTGGATGGTGCTTCTCCATCTGGGTCTGAGTTTCCCTGGGCAGAATGGTCAGAAACTGCTCTAGCACCAGCAGTTCCAATATCTGTTCTTTTGAGTGGACCTCTGGCCTCAGCCACAGATTGCATAATTCCTGAAGTTGGCGGACAGCCTCATGGGGTCCAGATGCTTCACAATAGTGGAAGTTCCGGAAGTGCCAGCGTGAACTCTCAGGACTGAGATCCACGGTCTGTGGAGATTTTTCACTCTGACTGGCGATCTCTCTCACCGGCCCTTTGATCTCCCATAGAGCCCTGATCTGAGGGTCCAAATACTCAGCCACCTTCAAATGTACCATCATCATTCTGTTCAAGGAAGTTCTGCACCTAGGTCTGACACCCAACTGGTGCCACTTTTACAGGTGATGTTCCCTCTGAGTTGGTACAAAAATCAGTAAAAGGATCTTCTTCCTGAAGATAGAAAAAAAGTACATGTTAGTAAGAAAGTAACATAAGCCTTACTGCTACTTAGTAAGAAAGAAAAACAGGAAAGATCCTGTCCTGTCCTCCATTTAAAATCAATTGCCAAGTCCTTTGTTTCTTATCTTTTTATTCCTTTTTCTTATCTAACTGAAGCACAGCACAGCTTAGATAAATGCCAACTGAGAACTCTGCCTTGAGGGCAAGGCAGGGGGTGTTCAGGAAAGGTTGGCAGGTGAGAAAATTGGCATCCACTAGCTGAAAGGAATTTGGGGAATTACCTAAAGATTTAATTAGCATGCCTCCTAGTCCATCTTCCCCATAACAGGACACTAAGAGGAAGTCAGATTAGGAAAAGATTGAGTTCCCTTCAAATTTTAACCATTAGCCATCTGTCTTTAGTAGAAAAAAATACTTCTACAGTCATTCTCTAGTGAACACTGAAGGCTTGACTTCGTGGAATGTATTTAGGTTGTCTGCAAAGTCTGGATCTCTTTTTCTATGCAAAAAGGCTTCATGACTTTCCCAACCATAGTTCTTTACACTACATGAACATCAGCAAGAGAGCTGAGACAGACTGCTGTAGATATAAAATAATAAGGGAAAAGTAGCCTTCTTCTTACCAATTAGGCAACTAGATATTCAATGTTATTCTTTGCAAGACAAGCAGTGAGCACTATACAGATTATATGAACTTTAAAATTTGTTTACTTCACCAGGAAAAATACAACGGCTAGCCTTTGTTAGCAATTAATCAAGTCTCTAAAAGGGGGGAGAACGGTACTGTTTTTTTTGCTGACTTTATATTTATTCAAGGATCATTTAGCCCTCCAAGAGAGGCCGAGAACCTTGGGCGCCTCACATTTCCCGAGGTGTGCCAGCAGAACTGGCGCTAAAAGTCCGGCCTGGGAGATTTAAAGAAAAGGCAGCCCTCGCTGTCCTCCCGACCCCGCGTCCCGGCTCTGGAAGCATGGGGGAACGCTCCTGCATCAACAGAAACCGTTATTTCTGGGCCTGAACGGACCCGTCCTGCGGCGGGAACGTCAACAAGCCGCGAAAGCGC